GGCGGGTCTCAGGTATGGCATCTAGTGGGTAACCTATGGGCGGAACCCTTAATTAGATAATGACTAAAGTTATACGTATAACTAGTTGTACTTTCATTGATATACATTGTATATAAAAAAAACTTGTAATCATACATTAATAATAAATACAACATACAGGCAAGATCGCCCTTTAAAAAAAAAAAAAAAAAAAAAAAAAAAAAGAATGTCATATTTTTCATCTATATTATATCAAAGTTGATACTTATAAAGCATTCCAATATATTTCTAATAAATTATTAAAAAAAAAACAATATTATAGTCGAATATTTTTCTATTATATAAAATAAAAAATAATAAAATAAATCTTACGTTGATTTAATATAAGCTATTGTCTATGAATTTTTTGAATCAAGTATAAAACTATTAGTAAATCTTTATTCATATAAAATTTGTCTATTTAAATTCATTACTTGAAACTTATACATTATTTTACCATCCTAAGATAAATAACATATGATAAAAAAACATGCGCAATATAAACAAATTAAGCAACTATTTGTTTCTATTTATTTTGTGCCTATATTTCTATTAATAGAACTAAATGAACTTCATCAAAAACTCTCTACAAATAGCAAGTAAAGAATTATCAAAAATAAATGACTAATCTTCATCTATTAATTCTTCATTATTACTATCTGCTGATGATTCGTTATTATCTTCTATTTCAATTCTATTCTCATCTATTTCAATTCTATTTTCGTCTCTAATAAATTCTATTTCTTTTTGCTTTCTCAACATTTCACGCTTTTCAGCCTTTATGATATAATGTGGTGTGATTAAATCAGTTACAAATAAATCTTCTAACCACCATTTAGCAGACTAGTTATCTGCAGAATGAGTTGTATTTAATAAATTTTGACTAGTGGTTGAATTGGTCATATCTAATTCATCATCTTCATAATACAATTGGTTTGCATTTTCTTTATCCTCTATCATTGAGAACCAAGTATCTAATACTCTTGACCATTCTCCAGTATTTGAAATAAAATTTTCATTCAATTCATTATATAGCTCGTCATCTCCTTCTAATTCAGAATTTCAAAATATTGGTGATGCGATATTAGAATCTACAAAATTTGTACTATCTTTAATTTTTTCAATCCTATCTTTATAAAGCATCGAAGTACATAATTTGCTCATATTTAAGACCTTATCTAGCTAAAATTAAAATTAGTATAAAACTATAATAAGTAATTAAAATAAAATTAAACATGTTCTAAATTTAATACTTACACTTAGCCGATTTCTGGTTTTTGTATGAAAAAATCCCATAGATGAAAATAATCTCTCAATAGATGCACTATTAGTAAGTATGTCATGATGCCGTAATGCAACTGAGAAAAGTTCTGATCAAATTTTAGCACAATACTTCTAATACTTTAGAATATCTCCTTCAAAAAAGTTCTATTCATTTTTTGAAAAAGGGAACAATTCATCTTGATAGTCTTGTAATTTAGCAATAATTTTTTTTGGTGGATCTCCAAACCAAGCACAGTAGTAATATATAATTTATTTTCCCATTTCAGCATATGTAATACCATTAATTGGTAATTTAAATTGAGTAAGACGAATATCAGGATGAAGCAAAAAGCTAAGAATTAAAAGAAGTTGCTCCCATTCTCTCCAGCATCATTCTAAACGTTCTATCATTTTTATTCCAAAAGTAATATCAGAGTATTTATCTATTAAATTGTAAAGATAACCAAAAATATGTAATACTTTATAAAAACATGCTGTGTCTGTTTGAAGTTGATTTAAACAAATACATAAAGGTGAGAGTAAAATATATAATTCTGATATTGTATTCCACCAATTGTTATCTCCAATTGGTTTACAAATATTTCTTGACAAAGTTAGATCATCATCTTCAGGCAATACATATTTTGCAGCTAAAGACTATAATATAGAAAATATTTAATAATAATCTAATTTTATAATTATAAATATTATATTTTAATTCTTACAATTAGTGATGCTTTTGAACGTAAAAGGCTATCAATTGCTTCATAATGGCTGTTCCAGCAAGTTTCATCTGGGCGAATTAATGCAATATAATGTTTGTGTGCCATTCTTTGTTTATCTCTTAATTTACCAATAAAATAAAAGTTATTGGGATTATTAAAATAATTTGTTATATCAATAACTTTTTTAATTGCATTATTAAATTAAGTATTTTCTTTAAAGATTTCTTCTACAACTAAATTAAGTTGATGGGCAAAACAAGGAAGAAAAATAATTTCACAATGAGATCTATGCATACGGCGTCTAAAATATATATTATTAGTTATTAATTTATAATTAATGCAATAATAATATATATAATACCTTGTAGCTGCATAATTGGGTGCAGAGACAAAAATTATTGCTGCAACTTTAATTTGTTGATCTTTTAAATCTTCAAGTAATTTTTCAACCTTGAACATTACATTAATAGTTCGCTCAAGCTTTATACTAATATCTTCAACATTCTAGACTAATACTTCTCCAGAAGACGTGATAAATACTGTTCCAAATATATTCTGCTTTAAAATGTTTTTCCAACCATCAAATGCTAGCGATACTCCAATATTATTATTAATTGCTTTTGATGCTAATTCTAAATGAAGTTCTTGTGTAGCATTTTTTAATACACAACCTCCAAGAGTGTGATAACTTGGCATTACAAGGTTTTGATTTTTATATTTAAGCATAGCAATTGACAATTTTTTTTCTACCCAATTAAATGCCCATCCATTTTCAATTGTTGCACTTAAAACGATTTTTTCGTAATAAAATTTATCAACTAAACTATATTCTTGTACAAGAAATGGTTGTATTGATTGTTGATTTGTATCTATAATTTAAAAAAAAAATTAATTATTTTAAAATTATAAATTTTATTACTATATTTAAAAATAAATATTACCTTGTAAATCAGATTTAGAAGCGAAAAGTAAACTATTTGATACTGCTGATTTAGAAGCCTTTTTTTTTTGGTTTAGTTATTTGCATTAATTTTTCATATTTATTTTTGGTAATAGCTGCTTTAAAGTTTATACAATTTTAAAAATGTGATCTAAGTCTGTCTTTTTTGTTAACACACTGAGTATTTTCTATAGCATATGCTTTACCATGTTTTAGTCTACACTATTTACAAATTGCAAATACTGTTTTTGAGTTTGGAACTCGAATAACATTAATATGAGGAGTAAAAGAATGTCTAGCTTTTCCACCAGTATGACTTTTCATTTTTTTTTACTCGTATGGTACAATTACTTTTATAAATGAGCCAAAATTTTATCAAATTCATGCTTACTAATCTATATATCCAATTATATAATCTATCTGCTATGTAACAGCAATTGTAATACATGTGTAATATAAATTTAATATATAGCGATTAGACAAATAGACAATAGACAAATTTAGACAATAGACAAATTAGACATATTGTTTAATCCAAATAGACATTGTCTAATCACAACTAAATTACAATATCATTAGACTATTAGACATTAGACAAACAAGCTATTAGACGATTAGACAATAATATTTTTGATTAGATATTGTCTATTCACATCTCTGCTCTAGTGATTCAAAATACACGAAAGCTATATTTCTTTGCTTACCATGACTACTTTTAGAAATATAGATCATTTTGACATTGAAGTTTCTAAGCTGTCATAAGAGAAGTGTCTCTGATGCTCTATGTAGAATTTTCTCAAGTTTAAATCTAAACTCTTTTTTTTTTATTAGTTCCTCCACTACAAATTTATCTGCTATGAGTCTACTTGTCTTTCCATCTTCAAAATATACTGCCCAGGCATTTTGAAGTTTGTGCCTTTGCGCTTCATTTTTATATTTAATTCTAATATATGCAGCCTTAGATTTTTCTAGTTGTTGCCACTCCAAAACCTCTATTTTGCTGAAATACTTCAAACATCTTATAACTCTTGCTATATTTGTTAAATTAGGGAGGTTCTATATAGTAAGATATAAATCAAGCTCTTTTCTTTCTTTATTTACTCCTTTTTTACTGTTTGTTTTAAGACTATTCTGACTCATATTGTTTTTTGGTACCCAAATAGAACTATAAATATCTTCTTTTAATTCTAAGCCTAACATTTTTTCTCTTTTGTGAGAAGTTGCTTTTTCTTTACTAATGGTATCCAGTCTTTAACTACCTGTATGCTATAGTCTGATTGTCCGCATTTGGTATATAGAAGTGATATTTTTTTTTCTGTATTCATTGTTTTATTATCTGTTAGAATCTCAACTTTACTTTCATTTAAGGTCATTTCAGCTAATTTGATCCTGTTGCTTTCTTCTTTTTTCCTAGCATCACCGTTATTTGTTGTATTCTCTTCTCTTTTCCATTTGAGGTTTTCTGCAGTATCAACTATCATTTCTATAATACCAGTTTGACTAGTTTAGAATTCTTGTACTAATTCTTTTTGTTTATTTAGTTTTGCTTTTGTTGTAATCACTGTTACATTTTCTAGTAGAATATACTTCTCTATTGAGAGCTTTTTACCTTGGTCTTTTCAGGTTTTAGCTCACTTGTAACCATCTATTGCACTACGTATTGCTGTTATAAACTCTGGGTTTTCATATCCTAGATATTTTGCTATATTTTTGTCTATTTTAAGTATAAAAAAGCTGTATTCTCTATAAATTTTTTGTTGCTTAGTTTGTGGAGCCAATGCTAATCCTTTAAGTGCTACTAATTTCATACTTTAGGCTGCTTTATTTGAATTATAGATGTTGAATTAATTTCGTGTTAACTTTGATAAAATACACATTGAATACTTGTCTATTTGATTGATTTGTAATTATTTATTTGTTTTCTTGTCTAAATTAGAACACGTTTTTGCTATTTCATTGTTGTTTGTTTACTTAAGCTACTAAACATGTAATTGTTTGTTTACTTGTTTATTTGTAAAATTGTAAACAGATCTACCTTACAGGGTCTAGTGTAATCTCTGAAAAATTTTTGCAGATAGAGTGTACAGTTATACAAAACTTGGATTTAGTTTATTTTGACTTGTTTTGCTTTGGCTAAATAAATTGTCTTTCTAAAAAACTATAGTTTATTTTAGAAGCTCTTTAGTTTTACTTAGTAGTATTTTAGCTAATAACTATGCTTAATTTTGCTCTACTTGTAAAATTTCTTTATTGTTCATTTTGATGCAGAAGATCAGCAAAAAGAGTTGATGAAAACATGAATTGTTGCAAGATTCTTTTCAAGCTTACAAGTTTTTCACATAAAAAGTTATTCACTAGGTGTATTAGAGCAAGAACTTTTGACAAAATGCATCTTCAAAATGTAGATACATTATAAGCATAGTGGTTAAAATTAGAAAAACTATTTACAACATGTAGATCATTTTTGTATTTAGTTCATTCTTTTTAGTCTTTATTTTTATTTGCAAAAGTTTTCTTTTAAAACAGTTTCATCTTTTTTATTCTGTTAAAACACTAATCTCAAATTTGTTTTGAAGTTTAATAACCTTAATTATTAATTACTTTTATAAGTAACTTAGTAGAGCTTTTATATTCTTCAAAATACTTTAGGATCTTTTTTTTTAACAACTACTAATTTGCACATTGAATATTTTTTTTAGACATAATATATACTCTAAAGACAGATTGATGATTTTAGTTAAATATTCCATAGTATAAAAATTGAATTAAGTAACTACAAAATTTCTATTATACTATATAGTTAGAAATGAAAGGTGCTTTCTTTTTAAACTATTAAATATTTTTATTTCAAAGATTTAACTTCTAAATTAATATTGAATTTATTCTATATAGAGGTTTGCAACCTAGGCTTATATCTATGCTTAACAAAAAGTATAAATATAGACAAGAATTTGGTATAAGTATGGATACAAATACAAAAATTTAGCTATGAGTTTTGTAAGAGTAGAGGCACAAGCTAGTACTTTAATGCTAGTACTCTGTGTCAATGCCTATGATAATATCTAGTATTTTTATAATTATGGCATAGGCATAGCACAAGACACTAGTGCCCGGTACAGATTTCTAATTCAGAATCTTAAAATTAAACAAAGCTAGTAAGTATATTTTATTGTTCAATATTTTTTATAAATAATGTTTATTAAAAATTTAATATAAATTTTTTTTATTACAAAAAGATAAAATAAAAATATATATTTTATATAAAGCCAAAATTCTTTAATTATATATAAGTTAAACAATTATTTATTTGCAAATTCATCATTTTCAGATTAATCATTACTTTCTCTTTTTTTTTTTGAATTTTTTGTTGTTGTTTAAAATTTGCTACAGTATCTTTAACTAAATTTTTACTTGCTCTTTCTTTTGTATTTTTCTTTTTAGTTAAATAAACTTCTTGCACAAGTAAATCTTGTATATATTCTATTCTGTGTTAATAACAAGTTTCCATATTAGAGTATTCTTTTGAAGTATTTTGCATTTTATATTTAAAAAATAAGTAACTATAAGGTTCTGGATTTTGAAATGCAGCATATATTTGATTATTTAAAGTCCACAATTGCTTACATCGATTTGGTGCAGGACAATTATCAATATTTATTACAGTATTAATAAATTCATCAAAAACTAACTTTTTTTATTTATCAATGTAAGTTTTTATTATTTTCAAACTTTCTTGTCATTACTTGTTTAACATACTTGACATTATATATTTCTAATGCTTCATCATATGCTAGATAATGTCTTTCATATGTAATATTAATAGATAGTACTTGATTTAATCTTTTTTGAAGTTGAGCATTTTTATACAATCTTTCTAAAAAAATAACTAATTTTGCATATCTATACTTGCTAGTAACTAGAAAAAGAGATAAAATGCAGCAAGACTTGCAATTTGCAAATCAAAATCTCCTTTTCAAATGCCAATTTTATATAAAAAAACAACAAAATTTAAATTTATTAACAAAAATTTTAAAATCTATTAATAAAATTTAAATTTATATTAACTTTTTCTGCATTTTTATTGATTAATAATATTACACTATACCCAAAAAATTGGCATATATATAAAATTTGTTGGCTTTAGATGATACCACTATATTAAAAATTTTATATACTGTAAATTCTTAAAATAGCGTTATTTTGAATTTTGGCCAGGATTAAGCTCAATTCGGGCCAAAATTTAAAATAACGCCCATGTCCGCTATTTCGAGAATTTAGGGTATAAAACTTAGAAAATATAAGAAAAATATATAATAGGTGTAAAACACCATAGGTGAGTTTAATAATAATTGAAAACTTATAAAAACTTATAGAAATATATAAAAACATATAATAAGTGCGTTTTATGATAAATGATTTCAGTATATAGCTTTATTTACTTTAAAATGCAGAAATATAGTTTAAAAGAAAATAAAAAACTTAACATTTTGCGATAATTAAAAAATTTTTAATGGGCTATCCGCTTTTATGCACGTGTAATTCTTTTCAAGTTTATTCATATCTACCGTATGAGATTTTTTTTTTATCTTAGTGGTTGATCTGGGTGACCCGTTGGCGTACATAGACACAGATGAAATTATTTCCAAGAAGGGACCAAAGTATATTCACTTTCTCAAACATTTACCTGCCGTTTCTTATAAGTGCACTTCAATTTGAAGCTTCATGGTCGAATGAAACTTAAAGCCCTTCTCGTGGCACTTGAATTAAAAAGCGTTAATTTAAAAAGTGACAACAATATTTTTTTTAAAATTTTAACCCTATATAATTAATATAAAAATACTATATTATTATTTGGTTTTCGCGATAAAAAAAAAAACAAACAAAAAATATCAGAAAGTACAATAACAAAAAAGACATATCCGTTGCAAAATACCATATTACAAAAAATCTTAAAGAAAACCATAATTAACTCCTTATTCAGATTCAGTAGACCTTACAGATATAAGGGCTCCCAAGAGGGTACTTACATGTACATGAGTGCCGCCAAGGGTAAAAACCGATGATAGATATTTCCTTGATAGCACTTATTCACATGTAAATCCTTCTCAACAGACCTTACGCGACATAAAGGTTCATAGAGAGACCTATGCGACATAAAATCTAACCACAAAACATTATGTCGCAAGTAAATGAATTTTTGTTTCCCTGTAAGTAAAAAATTACTTACTTTAATATTTTTGACCGTTTACTTGCTGTTTCTCCATAAGTGTACTTCTAAGTTTGAAGCTTCATGCTCGAACGAATTTTAAAGTCTTTCGCTTGGACTTGATAAAATAAATATAATTTTAAAAGCGTTAATTTAAAAAAAGCGTAACCGTTGAACATATCAATTTTTTTTTTCAAAAAAATTTCAAGCCTATATAATCAATACAAAATATTAATAACAAGTAACATAGCAAATTAAGTAAATTAAAGTTTTTACAATAAAGCATACTTGAAGGACCAGTGCGTCCACAGGTTTTGTGTGTTGTGTGTGACATCGGCACCAAGCAGCAATACCAACTCTTGTGTGAAGAGGGATATTTCGGCATCTTCAAAAGATTGATTTGTCCCCAGCTTAAATTTATTTTCGTGTAAATTCTCCATTTCAGAAGATCCTAAAATATTTTCGTTTCTTCAAATTATCGCGATAAAAAAAAAAATAAAAAAAAAATGTTAGAAATTACAGTAACAAAGAAGACATCTCCGTTACATAACCCCATGCTACAAAAAATCTTTACTATCATAAAGAAAACCATAACTGATTCCTTTTTCAGATTCAGTAGACTTTACAGATATAAGGGCTCCTAAGAGGGCACTTACATGTACATGAGCATAACCGACGATAGATTTTCCTTGATAGCACCCATATACATGTAAATCCTTCTCAACAGACCTTACGCGACATAAAGGTTCATAGAGAGACCTATGCAACATACAACCTAACCACAAAACATTATGTCGCAGGTAAATGAATTTTTGTTTCCCTGTAAATAGAAAATTACTTACTTCAAATACTTTTAACAAGTTTTCTTGGGTGCACTTCTAATTCCGAGGCTTCATGCTCGAACGAATCTTTAAATCTTTCTCCTAGTGCTTGATGAAAATACATGTAATTTAAAAAGTACGACAGTTGGACATAACAATATTTTTTAAATTTAATCATGAACTTATACAGCATAATTAATATAAAAATACTTTGGGTGGAAGGTTCGTGTTTTTGTGTTGTGAATTTTTTAAGTACACGTTATGGGGACCCATAAATGTGATTTTTGTGTAACAGAATAAAAATTGCGTCAATACAATTTTTCAACTCGTAGATCTTTTTTGATTCGTTATCAGTCACACGATTTGTCACATGTAAAATTTTTAATTATAGATCAAATGATTGACGCACCTAAATTTCATAAGTAAAATTTAGGTAAATTTTGCTTTTTTGACTTATTTAGCAAGAAGAAGCTATCGGTTTAATTTCTGAGTCTGAGTTTGCAAATTCTCTATCATTTGAAGGTTCTTATAAAATTTTAAAGGTAATATCATAATAAAATTGAGAAAGATCATGTTCACAAAGTTAGCCAATTTTTTGGTGATTTTTACTGTTTGTTTATGGATTCCCTTATGTCAAGAAAATCGATGTACAAAAATTAGCTCGGAGCCAATAAAAATTGCAGAATCTTGCAGATCT